GGGCGACCCTTCAAATTTTAGAATTTTGTCTGTAGTCACGACAGTTTTAGACTTAACAGGGCATATAGCGCTTTATGTTATGTCTATTAGATGGTTAATAAGCTGAGACGCAGCATTTTTACTCGTTATTCTGTTCGTGAAACTCACACTTACGAACTAATGTCATTTTTCAAAAATCTTTTCGCTTCAGTTATTATTGTATTTATATCTACCATCTAAATCCATAAATTTGTCTTTATGTTTCGCATATTTTCAATTTAACTTGTTTGAAGCGGAGTCATAATAGTAGAAAATTTGAGGGGTAAAAGTTCTCCGTTTTGCATATGGTGAAACAAAAAATGAACAAAATAAAGGTTTTCAAACATCGAAGTTGGTCATATATTTCATATGTTCATTTCATTAACCATCAAAGCAGAAATAGCAAAAGCATTTACGAAACAATGTCGAAACACTCCAGTAAAATTAACTACTTTTCAGGATTTTCTTAAGACGAGACTGAACACCATTGTCAACCTGACTTACTTTTTCACGTCTTGATCTAAAGATTCTTCAAGACAGGAAATTGCATATTTTATAGTCTGCCAATACTTTCAATCTTTACGTCACATTTATCAAAATAAATGAAACTGAATTTTCTACAAATATAAAAACATTGTCCCTTTTGTTTTTTTTTTCTGAAATTAACGCAAGAATTAACTTTAACTGTATTAATACTGTAAAACTTTCTGTATATTCGATGGTACACTAAAAGTGATGAATGATATAAATTAATTTGGTGATGGTTTCTTATGGCTCTTGATAAAAAAAATTTCTTGGAACCAATCAATGTTTCAGAGGTTGCATTTGGAAATACTAAAATATCAGCAGAAAACATTGTTAAAACTTAGAGATCCCCAAAAATCACTGCATTAAAAAGCATGTAAAAGGCGAAACAAAAAAAAACTTGAAAGCTTACCTTCTCTTTTTCATATGAATGCTTAGCTATCCGAATCAGAGCTGGTGGACAAACAGTTATAAAGTAACCCTTAAAAAACATCGATACATGAAA